GGAGGGAGGGAGGGAGGGAGAGAGAGGGAGAGAGAGGTGTCAATTTGGGCGTTTTCTTTGCCATGTCAGCATGTATCGGTAACACAGGGGCAAGTCAGCACAAAACCTGGCCAAAACCAAGAGAATGGACAAAACTTGTCCGGTTTCAAAAGTTGAGGGTGCAAGTTGTCTGGTTTCGTAGTTGAGGGACCAAATATAGACTCTGTGCAGAGTTGAGGGACGAAAAGTATACTTTTCTCTAAAATATATCCAGGTGTGGTCAGAGAAATCATCTATGAAGATAATATAGTAGCGATGACCCCCTTTCGAGGTAAAAGGAACTGGACCCTAGACATCAGAGTGAACAAGGTCGAAAGGATGCTGACATAGTGTCGCTATGAGGATAAGGTAACTGGACCTGTTTACCAAGCCGATAACCCTGACAGTCTAAAGACACACTGCCTGAGACGGATCCAAGAAGACCACGTCGAACTAAGGATGAGAGACGAGAGCCACACAAGTGACCAAGGCGATGGTGCCACTGCTGAAAAGAGTTGGTAGACAAGGCAATAGAAGGGGAGAGACTGGCAGCAGTGGCAGCGGAGGGAAGGTGAAACCAGTCAAGCTCCCAAAGGCCCTGGGAGTCATGGGGTCGGGCCAGCACCAAGGAGGGCACCAGTATGACGGTCCAGAACGGAACAAGAGTCAAAGTCAAGAATGACACGACAACCAGAGTCAACAATCTAGCCACCAGACATGAGCTGCATGGTTTGTCGGGGAACATGAGCAACTTCAGGAACATGAAAAGATGAAGTGCTAAGAATGCCTCGACCAGTAACCGGGAGGGAGGTACCATCAACAGTAAGAACATGAGAATCAAGAGGTCGAGTAGAGGATAGAGTGGATGAATCATGAGTCATATGAAAAGATGCTCCAATATCTAGAATCCATGGAGATGCACCTGCTTGTGTAGAAGGTGATCTCTCAATGCTAGAAGAGTCTGTAGCAGAACCAGCAGAACCCGTTGATGAAGAACTAGAGGACACAAAAGTCGTGTAATCTCTTGCTCAGTCAGGACCTCATGGCTGGATCGCGACTGTGGGGAGGTAGCAGCACCACAGACTGCAATCAGGGGCCAGGACGTGAGGGTCGGCCCGACGAGATGTGGAGGCGTTGACCAGGCCTGTCGAGATGAGACAGAGGAGGCGCAGCCTGATCTGCGTGAGCGTCGGCCAGAGAGAGAAGCACAATGCCAGCAATCGGTTGGATGACAGCAGCGGTGGCTGACGCAACAATTGGATAGGAAAAGCATGAGTTGCCCGTGCGAAAAAAAAACTCTAGGGCTCTAATACCATGTTGGGTAATATGCAACTTCTATTCCAGTGAGCCAATAGGCCAGTATATATAGATGCACATATGCAGGAAACCCCTTATACATTGAGGTAAATACGAAAGACTACATGGCTATATAAATAGTACTCTAACAACAATCAGCTTGTAACGAGTACTCGGTGAGATGGTCATCAACTACATGCGAGGAGAGACACAAGTGGTTGATGAGCAAGGGTACCATGGGACATACGTCACACTGCTAACCTTTTTTCCGATGGTGACCATGACTTGAAACCCGTATGAGCCTCTAGAACCAAATCAACCCGTTAGACGATCCTGTCATTGATAAAAGTTATGAGTTGAGATGGTGTCTATAAGCACGGTGCAACTGCATTGTGTCAGAGGCGCTGGTACTATAGAGGTTGGTGATAAGACACATACATGAGTCGTTCGAGGCTGCAATATCATCTTCATAGTCGTTGACAACCTCACAGTGGAACAAGAGGGCAGACTTGTGTCCATGAGAAATTGCGCATCACAATTAAAGTAAAGGCATGTTGACAACGATGTGCCATCTTAGCAGGCGACCGTCGCTGAAACATCTTTTTTGACTGCGTCACGGGGATTGCTGGTCATGGCCGCATGGGTAGCAGTACAAGTTCCCTGGTTTAGAGATCGGCGATGGCTCAAACGACGAGTGTCCGGGTCCTTGAGCGGCCTATTGGCTAAGATGATGATTGCATAGGCTGGTAGTGGCATTCATACAAGATGGCGAGGCTGATGGTATCATCGTGGTCCTCTGGATGAGCCAATTCCCAATCGGTGCGGATAGTCTGACAACTAGACTTGGCCTTCATCATTCAATGTGCCTCGGTGCAGGTGATGATTGAGTTGTTCTTTGTAATCTGCGAACCTCGCGGTGAAGGGGAGATGGGCTGCCTTCATCATTCAATGTGCCTAGGTGTAGATGATCAAATTGTTTTTTGTAATCTGCCATCGTCGTGGTGAAGGAGAGACGGGTTAGTGTCCCAAGCTTGTTGCTGCGCGTGGGAGGACAAACTTGCTATTGCATATATAGTGTAGTAAAATGAAACCAAGTGTAGGCCTTTTGGTCTTGTGCTTGCGGTACCACAAGTGGGCATTGCCGGTGAGAGGCCCTTTTCTTCTCGTACTTGTACCATAGGTCGGCATCGCCAGTGAGGTGGACTGGTACAAGCCACACCTTGTCAGTCTTTGGTTTGCTGCTGCCCCTCGAAGAACAGCTCGCAACTCTCAAGTTAGGAGAGTGGATTGTCTTTCCCATCAAATTGTGGAGATCCGAGCTTAGCATTGCGGGGATTATTAGTGTGTACTAGGACTGAAAGTATGGCAATAGTTTGGAGGCTGGTATAATGGTGGTGGTTGCTAGGGAGAGGGTGATTGTATGATGGTGGATTAGGCGGGCTAGTATATGGAAAAGCTGAGGTGATGGGGATCGGGGGTAGTGGCTCGGTATTGTGAGATTTGTGGATGGACCGGAGCATAGATTGGAGTAGTGGCGGTGGTGCGGAACGTGGTGGATTGACATGGTAGATGATACGAGCGGCGCTGTGGCCGTGGATGACGTTGTGGAGGGAGCTGTCAAGTTGTTGCCATAGGGTAATGAGCCCAACAAGCCTGGTACTTGGGTCATTGGGATAGGGGGTGTGGTGGTCAAGTCTCCAAGGTGGAGAGGCAGGTGACGATCTCGCGGAGCAACTGCTACTGCATGACCCAATCTTCTGCAATGATCTAGGCAGGTGTTGTCGCCTCTTGCTTGAGAAACACTCGCCGACGAGCCGGCCATGGAATCTGATACCAAGCTGTTATGATTCTTAGTTCGGAAGTTGATGCCATGCCTAGACGGTGGCGGTGCTCTTTGGCCGATGAGTCGCTGGCTGTCGGGTGCTGCGCAATCTGCTGTGAGGGAGATAACGGGGGTAGAGGAGACAACAAGAGATTAGGCTTCCTTTATTGATTCCTCTAACTGGCCATGGCTGCCTCTTCAAATAGAGGAAATACTAACACGAGACTTGACTTGGAACTCGACTAGGATTCAGATTCCTACCTAATATATGCTCAGTTAACTTATTCAAATACAAACGGACTTTTTCCATTAGGTTAGTGTATATGTAGTATTTTAGCTACTCCCTCCTTTCCATAATTTGGAGCGGAATGGAGGGAGTATTTATGTGATATTAATGTTGGTATTATTTGACTTGGTTTTCAACAAATGTTGGAGTTGGGGAAAATTCATTTCCATTTGTTTATAGAGTATTATATTGTATCTTAGCAATTTTTGCTCATTTTTGTTTTGAAATCACATGGATGAATAACTCTCATTAAGTAGTACTCTCTCATTTTTTATTTACTCTGCATATTAGCTTTGTCTGAAACCAAACTTTGTAAACTTTGACAGGTTTATAGAAAAAGTTATCAACATCTATGATACCACTAGATTCATCATTGAATACATCATATTTTTTGTTGTAAATGTTCATATTGTTTAATTTAAACTTCATCAAACTTTATTAAGTTTGACTTAGGACAGAGCTAATATTGTATAGAGTAAATAAGATCTTATTAATAAATGCTCTCTTTTTGGAAATCACATGAACGTGTAAACTCATGTGTTCATACCTATGCAAATATATAGATGTTAGGAAATTGTGATCTGCATATAATGAGTAGATTTGAAAAGTTCTAATAAGTAAAAGTAAGTTCTACCATTTCTTAAACATTTTGTTATGCACAAAATGAAAATTCTACCATGTGTATGGTAGCTTCGATCTTGGTAAACCTATCCGTATATCATGGCCCCCGAAAGTTATACTTTTTCCATGTAGCATTGTCTTATTCTCCTAACTTATTTGACTAGTGTATTTATGCTGTTATGTTTTTAATTGGATTTTTTTATTAGACAATTTTTTACTCTTAAATTAGCACAAGCATGTACTTGTAAATCATCATTATACTATCCATTTCAAATAGAAACGTCATTATACTATTCATGGCAAAGATTTGTCTAATATTATGTTGTTTTTATGACCGAAGCACAATTGGAGCCAATGAGGTTATCGGACCCTGCTAATTGCTATCCTGACCAGAAAAGGTGTCGTGTGCATTTTGAATGTGACATGATGCAAATTTTCTCACTAAAATTGGCTATAGTTCCTATGAGCACAAGCTCAGTGCAATTATATGGATATATAGCAGCACGTGATTATCTGGATTTATCGCTTAATTATATTGTCAATCGTAGCAGGGACAACCCCCTTACGGTGCGACAGGTGCACATCTTTACCTGTACACAGTTATTTTAAGTTTCTTCCATTTTGCAGTGTAAGCTTAATTCCATCACATTGATAGAGTGGATGGGTTGAAATAAAATTTTTATGGCATGCTACGTACAGCCTTTTCCAATTGTAAGAGTTGGATGCAAGGCGGAATTGTATAACCCACCTTATCTCCTTAGCTCTGGATTAGTATATAGAATGAAAGTATTTATAATTGCATTCTTGGTTTGTTCTAATGGGTTTTCCTTAATTTGTGTTGTGCCTATTTAGTAACATATTAGAAGGGGATCCTTGGTGCAGTGGTAAAGCTGTTGCATTGTGACCCCAGTTCACGGGTTTTAGGCCTGGAAACAACCTCTTGCAAAAATGCGGGGAAAGGCTGCGTACAAAGGACCCAAAGTGGTCGGATCCCTCCCCGGACCCTGCGCAAGCGGGAGTTTGTGGTTAATTATCTTAACATGATTTATTGAACATTAAGTTTCATGTGCGACCGACTTATGTTTGTAGGCTAGTTTAGCTGTCATTTGTTTGAGATTCTTTGTCAATTGGCTAGAAAGAGGAGTGGTTTTAATTACGAGCTACTAGCAACTAATAATAGTTTTGCAGGGTTCCCTCATTGAGATGACTGGCCCTAAGAGGGGCATCACAATGACCAGCGCTGTTCTAGTTGAGTATGACATGAGGATCATGAAAGGAGAGCAAGAAGAAGATGATCTACAACTAATTGACGGTGCAACAGACTTCTGCGAAGTAACCACACCTTCTTGTCCATCCACGTATCGTATTAATGGCGATTGTGGTGCGGTTGACATCACATTAGCATGCGTTGTCAATGCAGTGGAGGCCACAATAGATGTTATTGTATCAGAAGTGCAGAGTGGATTCAGTTTATCTCTCAGTTCATTTGTGTTTGTCGGTGGGTCACGTCATGGAATTGAGCTTTTTTGTGATGATGTTGGCGAGTCATGTGTCTTAACAAGAAGATATGTGATGGCCGTAGAGATGGATAGTTGGATGCAGTTGAAACTCAAGGTAGGTCAGAAAGGTTCTAAATATGATGACCTGGAACGTTATTGTCGCTTCAAAGCACACATCCATGGATACGCACGTCGACAAATACAGCTTGAGCATGCCTCTATCTGGCTGAAGGTGACTTGGTCGGCTATGCCATAAAGTTGTCTTGTTTCATATTCGAATTTTTGTTTCATTATTTGATCTTGCACTGGGTACATGTCAGACTTAGCGTTGGATAGATATCTACTCCCTCCGTTCCAAAATAGATGACTCAACTTTATACTAAAAACTTTAGTACAAAGTTGGGTCATCTATTTTGGAACGGAGGGAGTACTTACTACTGATATTGTGTTGGAGCTGGGTACTGTTATGTTTCTTCCCTGTTTTAGTGAGAAGCAGATAAAGTTTTCTGCATGTACTCTAATAATGGCTTATTATCTATCCTTGGAAGGTGTAGTTGAAACATGAGGCGTTTGTTGGTTGTTGTGTGAGTTGTGCTATCTTATTCGACAAGTTTGAGCAATTTACTGAAATAAATGCAAGATAGAAAGCAGAATGACGCATTGTATGAACTGTTTCAGATTACTTGAAGTGATGTCTTGTCAACTAGGTGAGGTTCCGCCCCGTCTGCAACAGTCACCGGCAAGAAAGCATACAAGACGGAAACCACACAGGATTCTTGGTCACCGTCAAGAGAAAACGCCAAGAACAACCACAGCCGAAGAACAAAGCCAAAAACGAGGCCCAAACAACGATCAGCCGATGAAAAACGAGGCCCAAACCACGGTCTGCCGATGAACTTGGTCTCCAAAGGAGTAGGGATAAGTGGATGAGCGAAACTCTATCTCAATGTTGAGCTATCACAATGCTAACCCTAAAACGTTGGGGAAGGAGTATGTATAGTCTAGAGGGCCGAAGGGGTACATGGGCCTCGGCCCGGGAAGCTGTGCGCAGACAGGTGTCGGGCGTCCGGAAGCTACCAGTTGTTCGGTGGCTCGCGAGGGTTCGGACATCCGGTAGAGTCTGGACTTTCGGCAGTTTGGCTCGGGTGTGGTGCGGTTGGATTTCCAGTGCGGGTTGAATGTCCGGAGGAGCGGTCGTCCGGAGGGCTTCG